AAAAAAAAAAAAAGACCCTTTCTTTGATGAGCCTAGAAATGCCCTGCACAGTGCACACCAAAAGAACAAACTGTCCAGCGGCTTAGCTCAGTTGGTAAGGCACGCAAGTGGCATTCAGGAGGTCTTGGGTTCAATCCCCATTGGCCTTATGCACCTTCCTGGGCAAGCTTGGCGCCCGCCACCTAGAGGTATGCCGTTGGTCCCCCCAAGTGGCATTGAGCAGAGACTGCTGATGTTCATAGGGGGAGGGGACCGGAGGGGAGGCACAGTGACTGGCCCATCGAAGAAGCTCGGTCCTGATGCTACCGGCTGACCCCTGGCCGGTATCGCCCACCTGCTGTAGCAGGTATATCCCACCTGCTGGTGGGTGCAGCTCCTGCATGTTCCCTCGTTGGAGGCTTGAGCACGGATGTGGCTGCTACGGGGTTCCCCATAATACTATAATGACAATAAAAAAAGGCCTGAAAGGCCGTCCTGTCCAGATTTGATAGGTAATTGAATTGGTTGGGCTTAAAGAATTAGCCTTATTAAGAAAGAAAAAAAAAAGAAAAAAGAACGAACCGGCACGTTTTCTTTTTTGGCTGGCACTGCCAGCCATTTCGCTCCGGTAGGCCAACCCCTGAAACCTGCGGCACACACACAGTCACGTTGGGGAAAAATGGCTGGGAATTTGTGGGAAATACGGGTGGTGGTTCAAACCACCAGTCCATGGGAGCTTCTTTTTTTTTTCCTTTTTTCGATGCGGATTCCTATCACGCAACTTAAAAAAATGAATCAGTGCCGGGCAGAAATCGCCAGGGTGAGGGCTTAATATGTGAAAGCCAGGCTTCTGATCTACTTCTACTTATCGTCTCAGCAAATTACGTTCCATCTGGAAAGTCGGAAATACTAAGTGGCCTAGGTCAGTTAGTACAACCATGAACTATTGAAAATTGAAATACAGACTGAAGTTGATAAATCACTTGGACCTCAGCGAATTACGTTCTGTCTGGAATATCTGGCCTAGGTCAGTTAGCACAAGCATGAACTATTGAAAATTGAAATACTGACTGAAGTTAAAAAATCACATGGACTGGGGATGAGTGAAGTGAGTTCAAATATGAGTGAATAAGTTCAAATATGAGTGAAATAAGGCCGGTCAGTGCGAAGATGATATCTTAAGGACACCTCCCTTTTCTTCTTTTTAATCCCTTGAGAAAGGGGGAAAAAAAGGTTCTGTCAGAAAATGCATGCCTTCCAGGTCGCCCCTTGGTATACGATCAACGCCAGAAGGGCTAGGCTGTTCCCCTTTTCTTATCTGATCTCCCTCCTGCTTTGGATGTACAAACATGCTTGCCGGTGATAATAAGTAACCGGACTGTTGCCCCCCAGAATAGAAGGGGCCTTGTGCAAAAAAAAAAAAGAAAAAAAAGAAAAAAAAAAGAAAGAAAGTGCATGCCTTCACGTCGTGTCCCCCTTGTTGGTTTACCTTTAACATTGTGCGGTGATGAATCATGAACTGTTTTTGTGTTTTGTTGCAAGGTTGTCGGGGTTGAGCTCATGATCCGTCGTTTATCAAGAGATACTTACATGTGTGTGCGTTATTCAGCCGCAAGGCAGCTTTTCTCACTTTGAGTTCTGTAAGTAATTGCGGCAGTCGTCACATCGACCTTACCCAGAGGGAAAAAAGAAGAAATAACGGCGTCAGAGTGGGTTATGGGTTGTGACATGAACGTACTCGCCCCAAGAAAGAAAGCAGCAGGTGGCCATCCACAGGATCAGGGCGTCTATATTCTCTACAAGGTTGTTGACTTTGCTCAATTGGCACAGTCAATTGAGAGTGCTGCATGACATCGGCCTTTTTTTTTTTTTTTAAAGGCTTCACTAACTTCTAACCAACCTATGTCAGGGGTATCGTTTCGGAATAAGTATCATTCATAGATTCATGGAGAAGATGCTACGATTAAAAAAAAAAAAAATTGGCACATCTTCTTTCAAGGTCTTTGTTAGATAGCGCTGCGGAAAAAATAACAGGTCGATACGTTTTTTTGGTTTTCAGATCGGTCGATTGGAGGAATTGTCAAGGCGTCCTGACATCTACGAAGTCTTGACTCGATCAATTGCACCGAGTATTTGGGAGCTCGACGATATCAAGAAGGGCATTCTCTGCCAGGTAAAAAAAGAAAAAAAGAAGAAGAAGAAAAAGAAGGGCATTCTCTGCCAGGTGAAAAAAAAATAAAAAATAAAAAAATCTTTGCCAGGTCTGCACCGAAACGTAGCATCCTCCGATTCCTCCGATTCCTCCGATTCCTCCGATCCCACATTTGAAACGATTTATGAATTTGTTCTGAAACTTGTATATCTGGCGGCTCTGCTTTTGGAATTTGGCAAAAAAATTGAAGCACTTTTTTCAGGAATTTTTCCACTCCGGATACTTTGTTTGCAGAGTGTTGAATTTTACGATGTTTTCTTATTCTGAGCGGTTTTGTTTTCCTCCACATGAGCACCATGTGCAGTGCGCGCTGTCCACGCATCCTCTTCCCCTGCACATGGTCCGCTGCCATTATGGAAAACAGTGGAATAAATGAGAGCGAAGAGAGAACAGAGAGAGAGAAATAGGAGCTAGCTCAGTAGGTTTATGTAGCTTTTTTTTTCTTTTTTTTTAAAAGACGTGCTCCAATCTATTTGTGGGGAGCAGCACATGCTGGGAATCGGGCCCAGCGTCCCATATGAAGACATGTAAAAAACAATTTATGAACAAATTGAGATACCGGGGGCCATATCCCGGTTTCGGCTTGAGAGTATCCTCCAAGATCGTGAACAAGCTACTGAACTTCAGGATAGATGGTGAGAAAACTACAAATCGTTTTTCACGATCGCTAAACACCTCCTGCAATCCACAGCAATTTTCCGAACACTCAAGTATCTAAGGGATTTCCAACAGGTCATAACAAAGCTCACCAAAACTGACTTATTCTCTGACAAACTCATCCAGGCCTCACGCCCCCTATCTGCTAGGTTACAGAGCTACGCGACTCACTCCAGCTCCGGCCTGTGTCGTCCTGTGTCAGTAACCCCCAGCAGTCCCTTAGGATGCCCCGCATAGCATCCCCAGATCTCTGTACAAGGCCTCATGCCCTCACCTTCGGCAAGTTACAGGGCATCACCCCGGCTCCGGCCAGCGTCATTCTGGCATTGAACAGCCACGGATCCTGAATATAACAGTCAACTTCCAGTGCAGCTTCTTACAAACCACCAGCAGACCCTCAGAGTCCTGAGAGATTCTTCAAACTACCAGGATTAACAAGGGTGCTTGTTTTGAAAATTCCAGATAAATCAGGAAAAGTCCCAACCAAATACAAGCAAAGGATATAGAAATTCCCCCCTTTCCCCCTCGTCCCCCTGCCCCACCGCTGCCTCCACTGAAAAGGACCGCCCCTGATCACGAACACTCCTCATCGGCCCCAACTTGGGACAGAGCCGTTCCCCCCCGCACTCCCACAAAGGCATCCAGTTCCCACCCAAAGTATGCCTCTGCCGACCCCTTGCCCTTATCTGCCATCGCTGGGATATGATGCCGACCCATACATCTCCCCCAGCCCCAGAATAGATCATCCCCCAAAATCTGCCCAACTCCCTTCAGGGCAATCACCTCCCTCCTTGTGAAGCCCTTGCAGAGTAGAGCTCTCCCCCTCAGAACCAACCCACCACCCCACCAGAAATAATTTGTTTACGCTTAAGAGGAGAAACAGAATTTCGGACGTTGCTGTGGATTATTTCCCCCCCGTCCCCTCCATCTCCCCCTGTCTCTCCGCTGCCTCCACTGAAAAGGACTACCCTGATCACAAGCTCTCCTTATCGGCCCCAACTTGGGACATACCTGCTTCCCCCCCCTACTTCCACTAAGGCATCCAGTTCCACCCAAAGTATGCCTCAGCCAACCCCTCACCCCTATCTGCCTCCGCTGGGATATGATGCCATCCCATACATCTCTCCCAGCCCCAGAATAGGGCACCCCCCAAAAATCTGCCCTCACTCCCTCCACCCCCCACCTTGTAAAGCCGCTGCAGAGTAGAGCTCTCCTCCTTAAAACCACAACCCCCCACCCACGCAAAAATAATTCATTAGTGCGCCCAAAGGGGAATCAGAAATTAATAGTGGAGAAAAGAAAAAACGAAGAGTGTAGGAAATAAAATTCGTAAGATATTAGTGGAACAATCGGAAATTTCTGAAAATTATGATGGAGAAGCGGTAGATGAGATTTGTTTTTTTGGATTTGCTAATGACGATGAACAGCACCCTGAAGATGATGATGATGAGGATGATGGTGCCGACCAACTCACCTGCTAATGTGAGAGGCAAATAATGCCTTCAAGAGCAGCATCTAATGATGACAAACTGATGATGATGATGGTAATGCCGAGCAGCGTCGACAACGCCCTATGAAGATAGAATGATGACGCTGATCCTACTGAAGAGCAGCACCAACAGCGCCCTATGATTGCAAACTACTGATGATGATGATGATGATGATGATGATGATGATGATGACGCACAGCGCCCGGTGATGACAAAAGGATGATGATGGTGCTAATGACGAGCACTTTTGATGATGAGCTAATGATGATGATGATAAGGATGAGCACCGCCCTATGATGACGAGCTTCACCAACAGCGCCCTATGATGGTGAACTATTGATGATGGTAATACTGATGATGATTATAATGATGATGATACTGACGTAATGATAATGATGATGATGATAACGAGCAGCCCCAACAGTGCCCTATGAAGACGAATTGATGATGATCATCATCATGAAGAGCAGCGTCGACAGCACCCTATGATTATAAAGCTCACTATTATGACGTAATGATGAGATGATACTAATAACGAACAACGCCCTATAATGACAAACTGCTGCTGCTGCTGATGATGATGATGATGATGATATGAGACGAACTTCGCCAGCAAATGTCCTATGGTGACGAATTGATGACAAACTGCTGATGGTAAGGATAATGACAAGGAGCATCCACAACGCCCTATGATGACGAAATCATGCTGATGATACTAATAACGAGCAATCAGCGCCCTATGCCGACAAGCAGCGCCCTACACTGGCGAACTCACCCTGTTGATGATAACTGGACGTCCCTGCTCTACCGGGCAGGCAGGGCGGTGGAGGCCGTAGCTGGGGCGTGCAGGCAGGGCGGGACATCTATCTGGGGTTAGTATCATGAAAACGGATGTGTAAGCCGATTTGTGAGAGCCATGGTTAAGGTGTGTCCGGACATCCGCACAGCAAAATATCGACTTTGCATTCCACAAAAAAAAGGAGAGGAGGGCAAAGCAGAAGGCTAGACTACTTGGCGTTGCATGTGGAGATGGATGGACGATCAGATTCCTGTCTGGATTAAGTGCCCCGAGGGCCCGAGCAGAAATTTTGGAGTTGTGGAGTGGAGTGGAGTGGCCTACACATTCCGCAGAATAGAATGTGTGGCCGTTATATCTGTATCTGGGGCGACTTTCAACGTAAGTACAGCGATCATGATGGTATGTTTTATTCCGGGGAAGACGGTGCGTGGCAGTTGGCCACACCCAACAGTTCATGGACTTTTTCCTCAAAAATGAAACGGTTTTCACCTTTTTGCAGTCACAGATGCGGGTCCCAGAGTTCGATCCCCAGACCTTACCTTACCCGTGTACAGTATGGAGTTGACCCCTGAGTGTTTGAACCCACGACCTGTGTTTTGGTAGTTGGCTGTTGTCTTTCGTAGGTCTGTGTAGTTGTAGGGATTCGAGCTGTAGGTCTGTCAAGTAGGGGTCATAGCTGTGTAGAGGCCGTAGCTGTAGAATTTCTGAAAGGTCAAGGTCGTTGCTGCCACAGTCTTGAAAGGTCAAGGTCGTAGCTGCTATAGTCCCGAAAGGCCAAGTCCACAAACTTCCAGAAGGTCCGGAAGTGGCCTTTCGAGAGTTTCTCACGTACAGTCAGAGGCAAGTGGGCAAGGGGTGAGTCCAACTTCGCTTAGTCAGCGGTACCCAGTCCCAGTCTCACTTTGCACAGTCAGCAAGTACCACGAGGGACTGTGTGCACCTTGGGCCCATTGGAAAAGGGGCAGACCGACGACTTACAGAAGTAAAAATCAAGAGGCAGCGCCCAGCCATTCATGCATTCGCTGCGTAAGCCATGTGGAAGCGCTGCCCCAGCGTCTTGTGCGAGGTGGTCTGCAGGTTGCCCGAAGTCGAATGGGCTGAAGAAAGGCAGAGTGTCCATAGGCAGTAGTAGCTGGCGGCCATAGCCGCCATAGCTAGTGTTAGGAGTTAGTGTGTGTGTATGAGTGTGTGATACAGTGAATGCGTGTGGGGGTATTCAGGGTGATCCAGAGTTGAGTATGTGCGAACAGTGGTGTTGGACACAGTGGCGAGAGTTGGGATGTACAGGCGCTGATGCGCCATAGCCTGTTGAAGTGAGTTTGCATCTGAACTGTGTTCTCGACTCCCATATCTCTGAGCTTTGAGTGGGCGCTTGGCGCCAGTGTGAGTTGCCATCTGTTTGCATGTATGCGACGCGAAGAAGAAAGCGAGCCTGATTGCAAAAATATTCTGACGTTTTTAATTAATGTGCTGCTGGCTTGCGTTTGTGCATGAATTTTTTAATTTTTTTTTGTCATTCGCACTTCCCTCTGTTGTTATTGATGCCCATCTTCAACAGCGACCTTTTTTTTTCTTTCCATTCTTTTCTAACACTGTGACAGCGACCGTGTACTTGCAAACATAATGAGAAAGACTCTGAAAAAGGAGGAGAGACTCACATCGTTTTTTGAGCATGCAGAAAGTTCTCCACGTTCGCACATGTACAGTAGGTATCCTGAAGTCTGGATTTTGCAGTTGACTGTCTTGTGGTTGCTGAAATCCTGGTGGTTGGTGAAATGCATGTGGTCGGAAATCCATGTGAGATCCAGTGTACCCAAAGACGAAAACAGTGCCGACATGACTGTGAAGGCCAAGCTCCTCTACTCTTGCAAACATGTCGGCACTGTTTTCGTCTTTGGGTACACTGGATTATGATCTGACGGAGAGTGGGAGCACTGTTCGACCTCGTCACGATTTCCGTCACGGAAAAAAAGACAGCCAGATTTTATTTTATTTTTCTGATATTTTTCCTGGAAAGATCACGACCTAATCTACCAATGCTTAAATTTTCAAAAATTTCTGTGAATTCTTCTGGCCACGAAAAATCGCCAAAGTTGCCGCTTTCAAATTTCAGGACTAGGGCCGCCGTTTCGGCCTCCGTCCGCCGCCCTCCCTCAAAACCCGCCCGAACTCACAGGGAGGGCTATTTCAGGCTGGCGGAGGGAGTGGTGTTTTAAGGCACCCGTTGAAGCGTTCGCTTGGATTTTCCTCTTGGAGGAACTGCACGGGCATTAGCTTGCTCTGGTTCACCTTTGGTGTACTGCTGCCCAGTATCGCCATTGGACCTCTACACATCGATAAGGGGTAATCCACGGATGGGCCAAGCGCCCCCTCCCCCTCGTTGCTGCAAGTTCTTGCTGGCTTCCCCCCGACTCCTGACCTCGCCCTGTGGGGAATCGGACCATCGATGGACCTGGAATGGCGCTGGAACAGCAATGGACCTTGAATGGCCCTGGAGGCTGGAACAGCAATGGACCTGGACTGTGCATTTCCTTGGAGAGCATGCCATCGGAGAGTCCAGTGGAGCAATAGAGAATGGAGCGCAGGGATTGCATAAAGAGAGTACCCATTTTTTAGCGAACAAAAATGGGTACTCTACTACGGTCCACCAGTTCAGCCTTCGAGCATGCTCCCGTCTTTTTTTTTTCTGTTTTCCTGTTTTGGAGTGTCAAGTGAGTCCCTGTGGATTGTGTACATTTTTCTCTCGGCATAGGCGTGTCATCCTTGCACAGGGGCCATGCTAATCTTCTCTGCATTTCTCGAATTTTTGAAGTTTTAACAGATGTCGTGAACTGCACACCCTTCTTTTGTGTACTGCCGATCGACTCGAAACCGTGACCTGAGGGACACATGGGAAACTCTCTGCAGCATCAAATGTGACAATCTTGAACACCCCTTTATGTGAGTATCAGGTAGCCAAATGAACTGAATAGGTCAGGTCAAATACTCTGCTTCTAGATGTTTCCAGGTTGTTTGGGGGAAATCTGAGTTGACCCTTAGTGGGCAGAAGAATAGGAGACTGAAAAAAGGAGGGACTAGACTGATGGATGTGTGTGTGTGTGTGTGTTGTCGAACACGTGCCTTTTTGTACTTGGCAGCTTTTTGGTGGTGTGGGGCAACGAGCAGAGACAGGATCTGGAAGCTTCAGAGGCGACATCAATATTCTACTGGTTGGCGATCCTGGGACAAGTAAGTCACAGATGCTGCAGTTTGTGCATAAGATTGCACCACGTGGCATTTACACAAGTGGACGAGGAAGCTCTGCTGTTGGTTTGACTGCATATGTTACAAGAGACCCTGAGACAAGAGAGATGGTATGTTTGCCACAGCATCATCAATGGTTGGCAATGAACTGCTCATCGTTGGGTCTCTTTCTCTCTCCCACCCTCTCTCCCACCCTCTCTCTCTCTCTCTCTCTCTCTCTCTCTCTCTCTCTCTCTCTCTCTCTCTCTCTCTCTCTCTCTCTCTCTCTCTCTCTCTCTNCTCTCTCTCTCTCTCTCTCTCTCTCTCTCTCTCTCTCTCTCTCTCTCTCTCTCTCTCTCTCTCTCTCTCTCTCTCTCTCTCCAGCGTGCATACACACATCACGGCTACTATTGTTTTTTTCCCCCGCTTATCTGCGATCAGCGCACCGCACCGCACTGAGCAGGTCACCTCACGTATGCGCTGCAAGTATGGTATGAAGTACTGTGAACTCAACGCATGAAACTCGATATACAAGATGTCTAAGAAGGGGACACGATGAACCTGATGGAGAGGAGGGATCCGAGAAAATTCCATTAATAATCGAAGGTTATGAACTCAATTTTCTCCCTCTCTAGCTCTGGGTTCTTCCTGACTATTTGCATTGCAATTGAGTGTAGGGGTTGTGTCTCCAAGTTTGAGTCTGAGTCTCTGGGGTACAAAGTCGTTGTCCACCGTCCTTCCCTGAATACAAGGTAAGGCCATTATCGCTGTATCTGGACTGACAGTTGTGCAAAATACAGTTACTATGACCGTTCATTCTATTTGGAGGAAGACTGCAGGGCCCAGAAGACAGTAGGGTTTGTAATCTTCTCCGATCCTGAGTCCAGCTTCTGTGATACAAAGTCTCTGTCTAGGGCCAGGAGTCCTCTGTGAGACATCTGATACGTGACGGCTTGTGTTTTGACCGGAGGGATGTCTCAGACAGCTCCTGGCCGTAGACATCGACTAGGTACCCCAAAACTCGGACTCGGAATTGGAGGGCACGGCCCTACACTCAATTTCAAGGGAAACTATTATTATGTTGAAAATTGAAACTGAAGATTAGGAGGAGAAATTCTGATGTAGATTTGTTTATTGAAAACATAGCTGATGATAGGAGCATGATTCATGATACTTAATTTTGAAAGGAAGCAGGCTGATGCTCCCCAGAATAGATATGGAGGCCAGACCAAAAAAACCCGGTTTTTTTTTTTTTTTTTTTTTTTTTTTCAACTTTCAAAGATAAAACTGTACATTACCAGAATGGCTCCAGAGCACCTGCGCGGGCAGGACAAAAATGAATAAAAAAATAAAAATCATTAAAAAATGTAAAACGTTTTTAAATTTAGTTGTATATTTTTAAATTGGCGAAGAATTTCGATGTGACTCTGAGGCAAAAATTGCTCAGTTCATTTTTCTTTGCACAACATAGTTTTGCAATCAGACTCGCTTTCTTCTTCGCTTCGCATACATGCAAACAGATGGCAACTCACACTGGCGCCAAGCGCCCACTCAAAGCTCAGAGATATGGCAGTCGAGAACACAGTTCAGATGCAAACTGACTTCAACAGGCTATGGCGCATCACCGCCTGTACATCCCAACTCTCGTCACTGTGTCCAACACCACTGTTCGCACATACTCAACTCTGGATCACCCTGAATACCACCACACCCATTCACTGTATCGCACACTCGTACACACACTGGTACCCCGAGAAATAAAGGATTTATTCAGTTTTATTTATGTCTGTATGTATGCAGTGGAGAACACCTTTTTGCTTATATTATTTTGCATTTGCTATTGGAGAATTCATTAGTTTTTCAACTTTTTCTCTTTATTAGTACTATATCCTTTTCAGACTTATCTCTTTTTTTCTGTAATTACTTTACCTTTGTTGTTTCCTGCAGGTTGGCGTTTTGTCGGTACTGGTTTAGTCACTTAGTGTATGATGTATAATCGCTAATTTGCCATTTGCTACTTGTTCAACAAATTTCCTTTTTTGAAGGTTTTTTTTTTACAGAGAACAGATAATCGATCTTGATTGCTGAATGCCAGTGGTTGCCTGTCATCTGTGTTTGGCCGTCCGCGATTTGAGAAGGTTCTGGAGAGTGGCGCGCTGGTCCTTAGCGATAAGGGCATATGCTGCATTGATGAGTTCGACAAGATGTCAGACAATGCAAGGAGTATGCTCCATGAGGTTAGTCTCAACCTCCCCATCACCCCTTCTCTATCTTTTCGGTCTCCCCCCCCCCCCTCCTCCCCTTCCCCCCCACCCATCTGTGTCATCATCTTATCACCCCTTCGTGATATCCCATCCCACTTCCTTCTTCACTCGGGCACAATGCGACACACAGTATGGAGTGGAGGCCAGATTCGAGTATTGTCAAACCACCAGTACATCGCCGGCACTTTTTGCCGAAGCACGAAACACGCTGCACACCAAAAAAAAAAAAAAACGAACCGGTGCGACTTTCGTTCGGCTGGCACCACCAGCCATTCTGCTCCGGTACCCGAGCCCTGAAAAACGCGGCACGTTAACGGACCAGGGCGGAAATGAATGGCTGGGCCCATGATTGTAAACCACAAGTACATCTGGTGGGGCCCATGATTGTACACCACAAGGACTTTTATTTCCGCCCTTGTCGAGTCGAAGCGGTCCCCATAATGTACTGGTGGTGTAAAGTTGTAAACCACAAGCATATCTGATCTCCCCGTCTTTGGAACTTCCATGGCGGTATACGAGAGGGGCGCACTTTCAACGTACTGACCTGGTGGGGACCGCTTCGACTCGTTCGGGTGCAAAAGAATCGGGCTTGGCAATTTAGGTTTTGCGGTATCCCATCGGCTAGCACAGTAAGTTTCATGCCTGAGCGGCACCGCGTAGGTGGTGGGTTCCATTTCCGTTCCCGTTGCTGTCACTTTCAGTTTGTTGTCACGGCCAGTCAACACTGGTAATTCGCGGGGGCGAGTTGTGGCGCCCTGTAACCCGTTGCAATGCGGAGCATTGGGCCGAGTGGAAGTGGCAGCTCGGGTCCTGGTGCGGCCGGTCGGGACACACCCAATACACATCCAATAAAAGTGCTCTCAGGTTTAGTTCTCAGTCAGAATCATCGCAGAGCAAACATTCATGGCTCAATTACGATGCCTATTCTATAGGGGTTGAGACCCTCAATCTCACGATACTTCCAAAGTGCAGCAAGTACGGCAAAACCTCTCAACATACCTGTCACAACATAAGAAGATTAATAAGGAAGTTCAATAAGTCCTGATCATGGCATCTAATCTACAATAACTTCCATAAGAATTTCGAATTACCTGGGGCCGGTCACCTGTGGATGTATCTCAAGACTGCCGCCCTTTTTTTTTTTTCTTTTTTTTTTAAAGGTTTTGCCGTACTTGTTGCACTTTAAACCGCCAGTTCAGACGAGGCCAAGTTAGCGAGCTACCTTCCAAGGCTTGCGAGCCTGCAACTGCGCCTTTTCATAGTGGCCTGCCGCGTTCGCTAATGGTCGAGGCCCCGAATCTCATGCTCTTGCTGGGTATACCGGTAAGCGCACTCTACCTAGGTTCGTGTGAACTGGTGGCTTAAGGGCAGATTCACAGGGTGGTGGAGTGGGAGGGGGACCTATTCATGTTGCAAGAGGGCGAGGGGGGTTGTTGTTTGCCAACATAAATAGGTCCCGGAACTCTGTTCACAAAAAGGGAAAAAAAGAAAAAAGAAAGGCCTCCTGATCACAGCTGCCATAACCTAACAGCCATTACAGGAGTATGAAATCTGTTGAATGGAATAACAAGTAGTGCTGATAACGCGAAGGATGCAGGTTCAAAACCTGTACCGGCCAGCAACCCAAAAAAAAAAAAAAAAAAAAAACACCGACGACGAGAAGCGACGTACCGACAGGCCTAGGACAGTTGGTAATACCTGTGAACTGCTGAAATAGAGACCTGAGTTGAAATCCAGATGCGCTTTTCTTTTTCTTTTTTTTTTAAGTTTTTTTTTTTTTTTGGTGGGGGGCGCAGCCTGTAGACTGGGTTATGCACGTTTGGTCGCTTTGTTGTGTCTACACTGTCTACGTTCGTCGTCAGCCACTATTCACGATGCATCTTCAAGAAAAAGGAATTACAAAAGAAAAAGACGAGAAGCGGCGCATAGTTTGAACTTGGAACAGTGGGAAGGATATCATTGTGCGGTTGCATCCCAGTCTCCATTTGTGGCGGAGTTGCTGCTGCCGCTTTTTTTTTAATGTTTTTGAAACTTTCCAGAGTTTCTTGTTTTTTAATGTTTTCGTTTTTTCAATTTTCCCCGTGTGTTTTATGTTTTTGAACTTTTCAGAGTTTGTCGTTTTTTAATGTGTTTTATGTTTTTGAAACTTTTCAGAGTTTCTCGTTTTTGAATGTTTTCTTTTGTTCAATTTTCAGGAAATTTCCCCCGTTGCTACAGTGTTTGTCGTTTTTTTTTGGGCAGCTGACCATCCTTGCTTCTGAAGGAGAAAGAGATGAAGGCTGTATTGTTTGTCTTCTTTTCTCTTTATTTTTTTTATTTTTTTTGAATTCTTATTTTGATCATTTTGCCAATTTGCACCATTTCTTGACTTGGGTGTTTCATCCGTAGATCGTTGCAATTTGAACAGACGGATGTACATTCAGAAGGGCACCAGGCCTAGAAAAACAAAGCTTTCTTTTTCTTTTCGTTTTTTCTTTTCAAAGAAGAAGAAGAAGAAGAAGAGGAAGAAGAGGAAGAAGAGGAAGACAAAGAAGAAGAAGAAGAAGAAGACAAAGAAGAAGAAGAAGAAGAAGAAGAAGAAGATGAAGAAGAAGAAGAAGAAGAAGAAGAAGAAGAAGAAGAAGAAGAAGAAGATAGAGGGCCAATTATTGACTCAAGGAGGCACGCAGTTTTGTCGAGGTCGATCTGACAACGAGTGGTGGAAAATGTGTGTTTCGTTATCAGGTCATGGAGCAGCAAACTGTATCTGTGGCTAAGGCAGGAATCATCGCAACACTGAATGCGCGAACGTCAGTGTTGGCGAGTGCGAATCCGAGCGGAAGCCGCTACAATCCTCGTCTCTCAGTCATTGACAACATCCAATTGCCGCCGACTTTACTGTCCAGGTGGGGGCGAGGGCGCTGGGAGGGAATCTCTGCGTAGTACACCTAGTTCCACGTTCCAAGCTCTGGTTCGAACACTGTGTTTCCGTTGGCTGAAATGTGCATTCGCAAGGGAGGGGGAGCATTGTGAAAGGGAGGGAGGGAGTATTTTGAAAGGGAGGGAGTATTTTGAAAGGGAGGGAGTATTTTGAAAGGGAGGGAGTATTTTGAAAGGGAGGGAGTATTTTGAGCTTGACCTGGATGCCAGTATTGCGGACTCGATGGGAATCAAGTTCACAGTACTTCCGGGCGATGGTCCAAACACGGAACATGCTTACAAAGGGTGAAACCAGGGTTTGAACCCGGGTACAGCGTTAGCACCACAGGCAGGAACTTGGTCCTTGTCATGGTCCAAAGTTCTCCAAACACAGAACATGCTTGCAAAGGATGGAAGAAAGAAAGGGTGCTGCTATGGTCTTCGTCCGAATAGAACAGCTGGTCATTACAGCCGTATGTTATTGGTATTACTTTCAGTCTACGTACAGCGATAATGACCAGGTGTTCTATTTGGGTGAAGACGGTAGTGCGAAAGCATGCAACACTACGCATTGAGTCTATTTCGAAAGGCTGCATTGGTTAACTGCTTAGCTGTTTTAATTTTCCGTCTTCCTCCGAATAGAACGTGTCGTAATTGTCACAGTTTTTGGGGTAACTTTCACTCTAGATACAACGCCAGACGTCGACAGTGACTATACGTTCTATTCGGGTGAAGATGGTAGCATGCTTGCTCGCCTGTGCATCAGATTTTCTAAGTTCCGCACCTGTGGTCCTTCCTTGGTGATGGCCTGCTACTGTGTGCACCTGTGTTTTTTTCTTCTTCTTCTTCTTCTTTTTTCTAGTCCTGTGGTCCTTCCCTGGCGATGGCCTGCTGCTGTGTGGACCTGTGTTTTTTTTTTTTTTTTTTTTTTTTTTTTTTTTTTTTTTTTTTTTTTTTTTTTTTCCCTCTTGTCTTGTTGTCCTTACTTGGTTGTGACCTCCTTATGGTGTCCGTACCCAGGTGCTTGATTGTGACCAGCTATGGGATTTGACAAATGTGCATTTTCAAATCTGACGAGTTGAGAGAAGTTGAGAACAAGCTCGGCTCGGTAGTTTTGTGTTGAGCTGCACTCAGCTCACCTCAACCAACAGGAAATCGCAGGCGCATGTTTTGAAAAGTTAAAAGAATCGGGCAATCAAATCAGATGGCAGCCCAGCCCTGTTGGAACTGCTTGGTGCACGCTTCGTGACACGAGAGAGTAGAAAGGAGAGGCGGTTAACAACACAGTAAGAGAACTTCAAAATTTTCAAAAATTGTTCGAAAAGTGAACGATTGTCAGCGCTGGTTTTCCCCGGTTGGACCCGGGGGGCCCTCCCCCGACTGGGAGGCTGCGAGTCGGACCAGGCGGTCGACTGGCCCGGCAGAGACCCCCGATCGAGTCCAGCGCACTATGGTGTGGGGATGTGGTACTGGGGGGAGTCACGGGCACCCCCGCAATTGCCCAGTCCCCTGGAGGCCGCTGCCTCTTAAAAAAAAAGGGAAATTGTGAACCCCACTTCTTGAGAAGAGCGGGCAGAAGATCTCCGCCGCTGATCTTCGCAGATCGCAGATCCGTGGCAGAAAACGCCGCACGCTTTTCTCAATATACAGGGTCCAACAGACCCCATTCTCCAATTTAGCATTGTGCGGTCCAACGAACTAGATGTCATGGGCATGACCTGGCCCTCATTCACCCTCAGCCACGAGGGAAACGTTGTGCTGATCGTGTGGCTCTGCTGATAATATATGCTTCTAAGACGTCCCTACGCTCGGCTTGCTCCACTACATGTATGTGGACAGACTACCAGGCAAGATACTTCCGGACTGATGACCCACCGTGCAGAATGCATGAGCTGAAACCTGAACCCATAACTTTCCTGCTGTCGAGCTATACTCTGGAAGAGCTATAAGTTTTGGCAAGGACCACCTCTAATCCTATCTCGTTCAGCCTGTGGGGTGTTGATATCTGCTGGCATAGTCCACGACACCTTATGCTGCTGAACTGAAATTCTAAGGCCACGGCGGGGTCTGAGAAGTGAACTTGTTTACTCGACTCCTCCCACTGAAAGCCATAATTTCCCTGAATATCCCAATAATACGCCTATGACCCTCTCTCTCTCTCTGTGGGCTTAGACTTCACTCTATCTCTGAATGTCTTCCTCAACCTCTCTGTGGCCTTAGACCGCACTCTATCTCTGAATGTCTTGCTCAACCTCTCTTGCTCAACTACAGCTACGATGCCCAGTGGCTGTCGACTATGGCTACTCGCCTTATTACACTCCACCCTCGCTCGATGTTTGGCCGAACAAGACCGCACCACAGTCGACTGAGTCGAGTGAAAAGAAGTGGATGCCTCTGCTTGGGCTATTGTATGCAATGGTTAGCGTCCCAACCTCGTTCTTTCCCGACCGGTACCCTCACATGCCGGCCACGGTTGGCGTTTGACCCCTTTGGAATGTTCTCGGACTTGCTTGGGACTTTCTGGACTGCTGACTGGACTGTACTGGACTGCCGACCGAACCTGTGGGACTATAGACTCAATGTGGCTACCTACCTACCTATCAGACGGGGACCTTCCCTACATGGGACTTGGAACCATGGGACTGGGACGGGGATAGGGCACTGATGCTCGTGAAATGCTTTCAATGTGGTTGCTCTCGATAACTTGAATTGCGTTGAGATCGAACCCATGGCTTGATATGCGTTAAACAATAGTTAAATGACATGAATGAAACTCGATGGTCCGACTCCAATGTAATCGAGGCACTACCAGGGAATCCGCTGTTCTCTGGATTGCTGATTTGGTGTGAGACGATGCTGTGCTCTTGCAGATTCGATTTGATATATCTAGTACTTGACAAGGCAGATGAGCAGACGGATCGCCGACTGGCTCGACACTTGGTTGCCTTGCATTACGAGAACCCCGAGGTGAGATCGAGTCCCTTCCCTTACTCCTCTTTACTTAGTCGACGTTTGTCTATCGTTCTGGATGTCGATTGCTTCTCTTCCTCCTTGCCGTACTTGATGTTTCTTTTTCATTATTAGTGTGTGTCGATCACCTCACTCCCATGACTTCGATTCCACTGCCGTCTCTCTGCGACTTGACTGTTTGCACACTAGACCCTGGACATGGAAGCCATTTGCTCAGAAGCCCTGAAAGCCATATGTGCCTGTGATAACCCTATGACCACGGGCATTGCCGCACTACTCAACATTCTACATCTGTCTGGACCGCAAAGTCAACCCGATACATACGGAGTCATTACGGACTGATCGAACATTTTGTGGGACCGTTAGCAACTGCAGATGCATTCCTAACGTTGTGCAGTCGAGTGAGTTCCTATTTTCGAGTAAACATGAACGACTCCATCGAGACTGTGTCTGTACAAGTACTGTGATTCTGATCAGACAGAATTTCAGCCATTGTCGCGAATGCGCTGGTTCGTACCCAGTGGCCTTACACGAGAGATGGTTAACGGAGACCCTAATTTTCAGACCACTTGCCATGCCATTTATATGAAAACCAAAGGTTCATTTTAATCAAACTTGCCACCAATTCGTAGAGTGGAGACCATACTAACTAACTGCAAAAAAAAATCCTAAAAAATAAAATAAAAAAGTTAAAAACATATAAAACAGCAAGGCAAAAGTGCATTTTCATGAAATTTCACCGACATAACAATTTCAGAAATCTTGAGAAATCTCAGAAATCTTAACAGAGGAAATTCCAATTCTCCAAATGACACAACATTTGGCACACACCAGCCTTGAACCAAAACAAGAACAGGCAAAAAAAAAAATTCAAAAAACATAAAATTTGACCCCGAAACCCTAATTTCAGTTGTGGACTGAAAATGGGGGTCCCCGTTAACCATTTGCGCCTGTGTTCTGGCGTCGGGAGTGTCCAGAGTATTTGTACAAAAGTATCGTTCCGGAGAACAAGTCCCAAAGCACAAGCCCAGAGTACCACAGGCTTGGAAGTTCCAGGGACAGTTGTGGAGAACAGGCTTTCAAACCCTGTGGTTTATTCAATCTTTGTTCTGGCTTCTGGGGATTGTGTAGTTACTTGGGGTGTCCACAGTATTTGCACAAAAGTAGCGGTCCGGAGAACAAGTCCCGAAGCACCGCAGGGCTTGTTGGATGTTCCAGGCACAGGTGTGGAGAACATGCTTGGAGGTTCCAAGTTCAAACCCTGGTTTATTATGGGACCTTTGTTTAGGGTTTAGGGGTTAGGGTTTTGGCTTTTGGCTTTTGGCTTTTGCAGTTGCTTGAACCACTGGTGCACCAGTGGTGTGGTGTAGCCCCTACTTGCTGTCCGCAGGGGTGGTGGAGGGGGTCATATTTGAACGAAATTGGACCACATTTCATCCTTAGAAAGTTGAGGTCCTATGTGAATTCTACGGAGCACTCATTTGAAAAACTTGTCTAAATATGACCTTAAGTTAAGGGGCTGACTTTTGATTTGCAAGGGGATTACAAATCCTTACAAAAATGGACCTTACAAAAAAGGGAGCCCAGACTCGATATGGAGCCAGAATGGATATGGAGCCAGGACCATAAGGGGGGAAAGAGGAACCGGACTGACACTCCCCAGAACCCAGAATAGATATGGAGCCAGGGCCCTAAGGACCTTTTAAAAGAAACAAAGAAACAAAGAAGCTAGCCTGTTTGCAGATCGCAAATTTGGCAGCGGAGTCGCCGGTCGAAAACCGGGTGCACCCCTTTCAATGGCTAACCAATGCCCACAAGCCACGAAACAGGATATATCAAAAGATCCACTGTGGCCCTGCATGCTCAAACTCTGGAGAAGCATAGGACCAAAACAGAAACGGCCACCCAGCAGAACAACCTCTCTTTGGCAATCCCTTCATACTCGACCCTAACGGGAATCCCTTCACTCTCAGCACGAACTCTCCGTGGCTTAACTGGGTCAAACGAGGCATATACACTATAGGCAGCCTGTAATACTCCAAACACGCGCCCGCTAAACTGGATTCGCTGCGAGAGGCCATACCGATTGCCTGGCAACTTGCCTTGAAAAGAGGGCCCACTGCGCAACAAGGGGACTGGATGGTCAAACGCGCAGACCTGCCACTGCCACTCGTGGTCTACAGAGTGGAGATGAACGTTCTAGGAACATGCACTCTAGAGGCCCACGAGCCAGGGCCACCAGGAGCGAGGATGTCACAGATTGTAAGGTAATGAATAACTAGACTGCAAAGAAAACTGGGAAACCCTCGTGCACGTAATAGCGGTGGGTGACCACAAAGAGGGGGTTTTCGCATACGAGTCCTTGACTCTGGTTGCAGCCCTACCCTTTGATCCGGATGAGTGGGAATGGCCCGAATGGGCAAACGGAAAACCAATTCACATGTGGGACTACACAGTCAAAGGGGGCTACAGACAATCGGCACTGCAACTGTTGATAGAGCCTACCATCACTGCAAGATGGATTAGGGACTCGCCTATCGACCCAGCCCAAGTACAGAACCTGCCCTGGAACACCTACTCTAAGATTATGCCCACCAATCTTAGATCGTTACAGTGGCAGATCCTACATCGGTGCCTCCCCACACCGGACTGGCTGGTGTCCAGAACTAACCTGGAGCGGAAAGGGCTGTTATCCCCCATCTGTTCCTATTGTGGCAGAGCTTCACCCCCGACACGAGCGACTCTCGAACATTGCCTCTTGGCATGCCCAATGGTCGCCCAGATTTGGCGGTGGTGGGATGCAGCCGTCCACTCCCTCACCGCCTTCCACAGCCCCTGGGACATGGGCCAACTATTGCTGGGCAGAAAAGATCACATCCTAAAACATTGGCCGGCGTTTGCAGTCAACCTGTTACACAAGGCTTCATGTTCTAATGCTGGCCTGGCGTGCAAGATGTTCCTTTGAAAGAAAGGACCGCCAGTTTGGACTGCAACAGGCCCAGCAAGCACTGGAGGAGGTGATTAGAGCCCACACACATGAAGCCTGGAAGGCCAAAAAACAAGAATACAGAAGCGAGAAGGAGCCACAGGCCAAACAGACCATCAAGGATACTTATGTACAGACATGGCAGGACCCTTTCAAGCTGTTCAGTGAGGTTGATGCCGAACTCAATATCACCTGGAAACCAGGGAGGACCGCCGAGCACACATGGAGTAGGAAACCCCTACAGGAGTTCCAAATCCCGTGCATGCAAACCAATTTCGTCCTCGTTCTGAATCCGCCACCCTTACCCCCTCACCTCCCTCAAACACCTGCCTCTGACCCACCAGTCTCCCCATCTGTTCCTCTCCTCCCTCCCCAGTCCACCCCCCCCGCCCTGTTCCCCTTACCCCAATCAGGAGCAGCAGGATGAAAGCTGTAAAAGAGTACGGTACCCCTGCAGGCCTTTCTATGCCACAAACCAGCAAGCTGAACGACTCGGACATTTAAGGGGCAACGAACAACACCCACAGACCATTACCTCGGCAACAAAGACAAGCAGCAAGGAGGATGCACTTCGTGGGTCGTTCCAGCAAATGGCCACGTGGAGAAAGGATGGGCCAAGAGGAGCTTCAACATCTACGAGCCTGCAGGTCCAGGGATTTGGAGGTTGACGAGGTTTAGAAGCTGAGGGACTCCATTATCAAAAAACAAAGTCATTCCAGTTTCAGCGAATACGATAAAAGTGGGGAAGGGCGGACAACAATGTTAGGCACCCTAGTAGGCACACTACTACAGCCCTTTGGTCGGGTTGTACAGGCACTCCCCTTCCTGGCTTTAAAATCTCTGATGTGAATTTTTTTATATTGAACAATTGTAATAAGGGACGCTGGGTCTATCTGGAAGGAAAGATGTGGTTTGGAATGATCAGAAAAAATGTGGTTTGGAATGATCAGAAAGACAACGCTGTGGTCTATCTGGAAGGAAAGATGCTGCAGAACCATTGAGGGACTCTCAACTCCAAGGGAGAAGGTATGGGCGGAGACAAGGACCCTGATTCAAGCGGAGATTCTTTGCAAGTGGCATAAGACAAGACAATCCATGCCAGACGATGAAGAGCAACAGAAAAGAATCAAGGCAAATTTCACAAAGGTGTGGCTTGCAAGGGGCAAAAAGTGGCAGAGATAATTGACTCTCGCATACGGTGGAAAAACTGGCACAACTCAGAAGCAGGGAGGAGATGGCAGAGTTCCCAGCCAGCAGAAGGACTAGTTCCATCACAGGTTACATAATGTTGGAGGCCGAATTCCGATATTGCATCATCCGTGGCTTCTTTTACCTTTCTAGCTTTTTATCTTTTATCTGGCAGGTTCATGCAGTAGACCTGAGAGTAAAGGAGGAAGTAAGGCAAGCTGACAGTTCCTTCACGATGTTGGAGTAATCAATGCTGGTCAGGGATCCTTCGGCCGGATGGAAGGAAGCGTGGGTGGGTTTCATGATGTAATTCTTTTTCTGACTTGCCGGTGGAATAGGAACCGGACTGATGCTCCCCAGAATGGAAATGGAGCCGGGCCCATAAGGACCTGTTAAAAAAAAAAAAAAAAAAAAAAGGGACGCTGGGCCCGCTTCTCAGCAGGTGCTGCTCCCCACCAATAGATGGAGCCACCCCAGGAGTGAAACGGTTTTCACCTTTTGGCAGTCACGGATGTGGGCCCTAGAGTTCGATCCCCAGACCTCACTTTGCCCATCTACAGTATCGAGTCGACCCCTGAGTGTTTGAACCCGTGATCTGTGTTTCGGTAGTTGTTTGTCGTCTGTCGTAGGTCCGTGTAGCGGTAGGGGTTTGATCTGTAGGTCTGTCGATTAGGAGTCACAGCTCTGTAGAGGGCATGGCTGTAGATGCTCTGAAAGGTCAAGGTCGTAGCTGCTACAGTCCTGAAAGGTCAAGGTCGTAGCTGCTACAGTATTGGAAGGCCAAGTCCACAGCCCTCCGGAAGGTCCGGAAGTGGCTTTTCGAAGTGTCCCACGTTTAGTCAGAGGCCAGTGGGCAAGTGGTGGGCTTTGAGTCAGAGGCAAGTGGGCAAGTGGTGAGCCAACTGCGTTACGTTGGCAGTGCGACTGCATCGAGTTGGCAGTGCAAACCCATGCAGTCAGCGGCACCGGTCCCAGTCAGTCAGAGTCCAGTCAAGCAAGTACCGTGTAGGACTGTGTGCACCACGGGCCTGGGAAAGGGGCAGACCAACGAGTTACAGAAGTATAAATCAAGAGGCAGCGCCCAGCCATTCATTCAATCGCTGCGTAAGCCATGCGGAAGCGCTGCTACAGCGTCTTGTGCGAAGGTGGTCTGCAGGTTGCCTGATGTAGAAGTGGGCTGAAGGGAGACATAGTAGCCATAGTAGTAGTGGCGAGCTGCCATAGCCGCCGTAGGGTAGAGGTAGCTGATAGAGTGTGCATGTGTGGAGTATTCAGGGTGATCCAGAGTGAGCATGTGCAAGCAGTGGTGTCGGACACAGTGACGAGAGTGGGATGTACAGGCGCTGGTGCGCCATAGCCTGTTGAAGTGAATTTGCAACTGAACTGTGTTCTCGTTGTCCATATCTCTGAGCTTTGAGTGGGCGCTCTGCGCCAGCGTGAATCGCTGTCTGTTTGCATGTATGCGAAGTGGAAAAGAAAACGAGTCTGATTGCAGGGAGAGCTTGAGGTGACTGCTCCTACCAGCATCTCAAGCTGTCCCACGGGGCCGATTCTTAAAAAAAAAAAAAAAAAAACTTTAAAAAAAATTGAGAAAACTTTAAAAAGGAACAAAGAAACAAACAGCAGCTAAGTGAGTCTGCACATCTAGCTTCCCCACAGCTGAGGTTACAAGATGGCGCTACCGATCCGAGGATGAGCCCGACATCCTCCACTGTGCAAGCACGGATTCGAACCGGCGACCCGGGCCTCAAGAGCCAGGTATCTTAACCACTACAGCCAGGAAAGGGTGTTCAAAAGTGGAACCATACCGGTCGTGGTATCCAACCCACCCCTGCAAGGCTGTAGTGTCTAACTCAGCACACACCGCACACAACACCACAAGGACACGGCGATTCTCGCACAACTCACTCTCGCCAATCATCACAAATCCAAACAAACAAACAAACAAACAAACAAACAAACAAACAAACAAACAAATCAGCACCTTACAGGTTGGCTGAATTGGAGGTGTTGGGGACTTTTTTTTTTTTTTTTTTCTTGTTCCGTCTCGATTTGTGTTGTGTTATTCGGGTTCACAGGCGATGCTAATCTTTTGTGTATCGTTCTAGGCTACCAGAGTGGCTCGGGGTCACATGCCCGGCCGGGCCAAAAAAAAAATAAAATAAATAAATAAACAAATTATTTTTAAATTTTATTGTTTATTCTAAATTTGGTGAAGAATTTCGATGTGACCCTGAGGCAAAAGTTGGTCAGTTTATTTTTCTGCATAACATAGTTCTTTTTCGGATTTTTTGGATTTTTTTTTTTTTTTTTTTTTTTTTTTTTTTTNTTTTTTTTTTTGCTGGGACCTTTTCTGGTCCTTGCATGGGCTGGCCACCCGGGACCTGGGCGGCCCGGCTGGTAGCCTAGGTATCGTTCCAATTCTAACTCACTGGAAGGTCTCAGAAACTCGGGTTTGGACTTGGGAGCATTGCTCTACAGAAATTGAGGTAATCTGTTAGCTTTTTGAAGGGACTGTCCCGGACTGATTTGGAGGGTGTACTTGTTTGTGAAAGCCGGCCCTGTTCATACTACCTGATAATGTTGAAGGTTGTAGGGGCATGGACCACATGGTTAATCGTAATGCGGAGGAGTTAATACTCTGTTTTGGTGGGGTCAACAAATCTTTTGCAGATAGATAGAGCAGGAAGCCGCATGCCTGTCCTTCTAGACATCCGTTAAAATGGGATCGATACAGAGAAGATTAGCATGGCCCCTGCGCAATGATGACACACATAAATTGAGGGGGGTGAAAAACGGAAGCCTTGTGCCAGATGGTGCGATCACCACGACAACATTTGTTCAATTTCGTTGCGGGTTCAAAAACAGAAGAGAAAAACATAAAGACTCAGGGTCCAACACTGTAATAATGACTTAACAAGAGACACCTTCATGATCCCACTAAGTCCCAGAAATGGTCTGGAATACTGATTGATTGGGCAGTCGGGAGGAGAGCTCTGGCGCTGCAGCGATTCTGTCAGAACAGGTTCATCGGAACTCCATCCCTTCCTGAGAAAAAATATCTGGGAAGTATTTTTTCCTGTTTTTACTAAGGGGGAAGCCCCTTAGTAAAACAGTCTGCATGTAGTACACTTCGTGCTGTGCAGCAGTGTTGCATACCCCGATGGTCGGCGCCCCTCGACTGGTCGGATGCCAACCAGCCGACCAGTCGGCTGGTCGGCACCTACCGGTCAGGGGTCGGCGGCACTCATGTTCTGTTTACGAAACAGTCATGTGCTCTGTTTACGAAACAGTCACATGTTCCGTTTACGAAACAGTCACATGTGTGTAGTACACTTGGTGCTCATCTGATTTCATCAGCATTTGAACTCATGTTCTCTTTACGAAACAGTCACATGCGTGTAGTTGCTGCGCAGCAATGTTGCAGACCCCGATGGTCGGCGCCCCTCGAGTGGTCGGATGCCAACCAGCCGACCTGGTCGGCACCTACCGGTCGGGGGTCGGTGCTCATCTGATTTCATCAGCATTTGAACTCATGTTCTGTTTACGAAACAGTCGCATGCGTGTAGTACACTTCGTGCTGCGCAGCAGTGTTGCATAACAATGGTCGGCACCCCTCGACTGGTCGGATGCCAACCAGCCGACCGGTCGGCTGGTCGGCACCTACCGGTTGGGGGTCGGCGGCACTCCGCAAAAAAAAAAGAAAAGAAAAAAATTGGGTCCAGAACCCCACACAACCCCGCCAACACCCTCATTCCCCTATACCCCCATACACCCCCCTCAAAAACCTTAAACAATCCCCCAACACCTTCATACCCCC